ACTGCATGTCGCGTTGAATCGCGAGACTAATTAACTCTCTACGATCTGGCACATTTTTAACGTTATCTGGCATTCATGCCTGCCGTGAAGACCGGCTGTAAAAAAGACATATACGTATACGAATACGTGCAATAAAATTTTGCTCGGCAAAAGGCGTGTCGTTTAAAAGTGTCAGACGTAATTTCACTTGTCAACAAGCAACGTGAAGCACTTTATAAAACTTGGGATATATGAACATACGGGCGGATCACGCTTTAAAGAAATAATATATTAACGAATGAACACATTATCGCTTACATTGTATTTTGAAATCTCTGTGAACTTTGAGATCTTTATTAATAGCCACTTACATTTTCATGGACGTGAAATTTCTCTTCCAGAATCCAGCGTTCTATTGAAAGTTCTGGCAGCCCTCCCGCAGAGTTTCTTTTAATTATCTTTAACAATCATAGCGTAAAATTGAAAAAAAAAGTTACGAAATTATGAAGTTAATCCCTTCGTGTCTTTATATAGCATTTTAATCATTTAAATCGACAGAACTCTTTCTAAAATCGATTGTAAAGTTCTAGAATTTTTCTACCAACATTTAATTTTTTCCAACTTTTAAAAAGGAAACTAACTTTTATAAAGTTATGATTTTGAATTATATACGAGTATATTATTGCTAGAATTTAAGTGTCATCATCGAACAATCAGTCTATCAGAAGATAGAATTAGAGATAGAAAGTTCGAACATTTGGTTGAAATGTTCGAACTTATAGACGTATATATAATAATTGCTAAGCTTAACTGTCAAAATTTTAATCGCGTTCTGAATTGGCGATTCATCAGGGACGATGATATAGCGTATAGTCCATCTCGTGCTCTCGCAGTGTTTCTGGCTCCAATATATAAGGCACAAGTGTCGTGCCACCGAGAGCCTGCGCGTGCTCCCATCGCTGAGATAACGAACAGTCTGTATTCTCGTTGGCAGCCGTGGCAGCCGTTAAGATAACGAGACACGACACTCACCACGGGCGCATTCCCTGGCGCAGAAAGAAGATTTAAGCTCATCTTAGAACGGCATAAGTTTCATAAATTAATCGTCGAGACGGGGGACTCCATCGCCATCGGGGTTAGATCGCGTGGAAACGGCGAGAGAATATAATTTCATTTTGATACATAATTTAAGTTTGTGAGCTTTAACCGCGCTCGAAACTTGAGATTGCCCCTGTACTCCCTCCTCCTTGCCATAACGATGATAAATTTAGGAATTAGTCGGGTGACAGGATCGTCCGATTTCCCTGCGCTGGCGATGAATAAGTGTATAATGAAGTTGTAGGAGACTCCATAGTAGAGGTATAATCACATTTTATCACAATATCGTATAATAACGTACTGTACAAAGTAGTGAGTTTTAAATGGACATCGTATAAAGTAAAATTTTGTATGGCGTAAAGATCTAAGATTTTCTTTTTTCTCAACGAAAGCACATTAAATTAGGTAGGAAATAATGCTATTTTAATGAGTTCCATGCTAATGAAGCTATAATCTTATAATTCCGTGGTTTTATCTTTGACTGGTGTATAATTTAAGATTCCTGACATATTGGTGACCTTTCCAGAAAGCTGACTGTACTTTAATTCCCAGTTTTCAAGATAGGGATAGAGCGAAATTACGATGTTATTACATGATGATTAATATGGCGCGATGAAGATAAGATCTTTCTGAGGCAAAAGCGACTCTGATTGAATAATTGGCCACGCCCGCTGGATTAATTTCAATTTAACATCACGTTAAATATCGCGAGTGGTCGCATTTGCATGTCACACCATTTACCAACTTATTTAGATAGCATTGACTCAATATTATCACTCTCGGAGAAAACTGTCCCAGCGTCCATATTAGATAATTAAGTCCGGTTAACGCATGCTAATTAATATCGCTCGTTTGCATGCGAGAAGAGAGTGTGTGTGTGTGTGTGTGTGTGTGTGTGTGTGTGTGTGTGTGTGTGTGTGTGTGTGTGTGTGTGTGTGTGTGTGCGAGCGAGATAATATATTTCAAAGTACACGTTACTTATATAATAGACGCGAAGCTGCCAACTACACATTTTACAATTAAATAAGTACAATCGAGTAAACACGAGAAGTGGAAACTACTGGCACGGATATTCACGGATTCTATTCAATTCAAAGTCCTATTCACAAATAGAGATAATATTCGTTGAGCGCGCCGCACTGAAAGCGTCAACGATAACGACAACCACGATAACGACGCTGCTCACTTTATAAGATATCCATTCGTGCTCGCGCCTTTCTCAGCTGCCACATCCTTCCTCCATTATTACAAGCCCGAACACGGGCGGAGAAAATGCAGATTTCTGCTATTTCTCTCGTCTTACCGCCACGTCTTACAACGTCCCGCCTGCATGCATCAAATGCACGCTCGGTGCCTCCCCCTCCCTCCCTTCCTCCCTCCCCCCTTCCCCGACATGCAGCGTTTCCACGGTGAACTCCGAATTGGTCCCGCCGTGCGACCCGTCTGGTCCCCTTTCCTCCCCCCTCCCCCTCCCGCCGTTCCCCCTCTCGCCGTCGCGC